CAATGGATGGGCGTGGAAAAGTATATCCGTATTATATAAACATTCTAAACGTTTAACTGGGCAGTTAGTCTTGTTGGCGATGTTTTGTCATTTACGGGAAAATTAGTCCAGAAAATAAATTCATATTAGTATGTCGCTTGATAATTTTAAATCGAGGGTAAGTAATACTTTGTTTTTATATTTGTTGACTAAAGTATTGTGTTGGGTAGCCGCGGTGGCCCAGTGGGTAAGATGTTGGCTCGCTAACCTGGATGTCCTGCATTGTCATATCCCTGCTTTGGCCGAGAGAGTTTCCGGCGCGGTTCCCCCTTGTCATTCATTGTGCAGAACAGAAAATCTGGCAAGAGAATATATAGTCTTTCGGATAGGACGAAAAAACAAGGTCCCGTGTACACATTGACGTACGCATAAGACTCCTTTGCAATTGGAATTGGATATATGAATAGGCCGTTATGACGCTGTCAGGGCAAAGCTTGTCTCATAACACTGCACTTTATGGCGTATACTCGTCTATATTAGCCCAGTCAGAGCAGACCAGTAGGACGCAAAACCCCATTTCATTTCACTTCAGTATTTTGTTGTCGAGACGTTTAACTCGCATACTGATTAAAATACAGATTTATATTTCATATCGTTTTTTTATACTTTCGATAGCAAGTAAAGGCAAGTAAAACGAAATTTTGAAGTATAAAAACGAAATGAAAAACTAGGATCTGTATTTTAATCCGTTTGTTTAACTGGGTTCCTTTCTTACGTACGATTGGATTATAATTGTTCATAAAGAAAATATAGCTCCCTTTTCAATTTAGTCTGTCAATGACATTTAGCGATTGAACATAAGATAACACAGTTCTATGGATAACAATCACTACATTATACACACACCATGTTTCGAAAGGATTTCACTGATTGTTATCAAACTAATGACGAAATTTGTTTCCAAATCCACACCGTGACCACCCACGCGATAGAAGATAAACCCGTCCGATTCCCATCTAGAATAATTTCGTAGTTTCCAGCGAACTTCGTCAAGTAGCGGCCGACTCCGTAGCGGTCCACAAGAAAAGAGCAGAGCAGAGGGGTCATTACCAGCGGGAGGAAACCGGGGGTCCTGGAGAAAGCTGGGAATCTTGAGATCTAAAGCGCTCGCGTTAATCCATTCGCCATCCCCTCTCCTCTGGAGCACAGAAGAAATTTAATAGAAAGCGAGCAGAGTTTTGACTCAATCTTTTCACTTTTCAACTTTTAATAGTCAGAATTGTATTTTCATCGATCGAATTTCTACTATCAACTGTTGACAAGGCAAAATTTCTCACACAGTGCACTGTATGGTTCGGGATAGGATAGTAGGACATTAATCCCCATTTCATTTCAGTTTTATGTTCAGAATGTATGGTAGTTTGCAAGGGATTCCTATTGCTTAAACTCGCGCATCAAGATTTTAACCAACACGCCCATTTTCTTCGGTAAGCCCCCCCCCCCCACCGTGCTAAAAGTTTCGCCCCCCCCCCCCCCCTAGATAACAAACCTTAATCTCTCAACCGTCCATGTTTCGAGATAAGAGATGATTCTATTACCTTCAATGTAGCACATGCGGAAGCGATTCGCACCCGGCATTTGTAAACAAAACTGACAATATTTTTAATCGAAACAACGATTGGTTATTGTTATTTATAATATTTCTGCCACACCCAACCACAATTAAGCATATAATCCTACCTGAAACGGGTACAAATCCCTTCTTTTTAAATCAAAGCGACAGTAGATTGCTTTTTCCGACATTTTAAATTTACGTATGTAACACATAAAGGCGGGGCATCGTGTGCAATAGCCAATCAAAGTACCCATCTGATCAGAGTTGCGCAGTAGTAATACGGCGTAATTATGAACGTTCGAATCAATTTTGATAAAAACAACGCTTGATTTACTTTATTGTCAATATTTGCTGATAAATGAATGTTGTTTCAGTAGATTGGACTGTGTATGTGTAATAAGTACTAATAGTATAAAATTAACTTATTTTTAAGATGGTACATACATTAATAAAGAAATTGAGTTTGCCACTTGGAACTAAAGGCATCCAATCGTAGCTAAAAACAAGCACATCAGTATATCTCAGCGTTTTTAGTTACATTCTCGTAGCTACCCCCCCCCCCCCCCTTCCCTGTGAAAAAATTGTCGACCATAGATATACATTGTCCGTCAATTTTACAGCACCCATGAGAACACTTCCCGCACTACTCGTTGCTCTGAGCTAGTTATGACCCTGAAAATGTGTTGTGGTCGGGGTGCAATCTGTAAATAATGTCCATAATACGATCCTAATGCGTTCATAAACAGCCTTCAATACGTCTATCTCGTCTGTACCCCGTCCATAGTCAGTTTATATTAAAGAAGCTAAGTCTCTAACTCAATATCATCCAAAATCTTCAACATTGAAAACACGATTTATTTGTCAAATTAAATCAACATTGATGTTGTGATCTTACCGGAAAAAGATGGGCTTTTGATATCCAATATTTAAGACAAAATAAAAATTTTACCATTGGTACACGAATCGTGTACCATAATGCGCTTCAGCCCCAGTTGTATCAAGAGACTCGAGGGACGAGGCTAGACACATTGCACCAAATCAAACGGCGTATGTAAGCTGGAATAACCAGACGCTAGAAATTTACACTCGCTTGAGACTGCTGGCTTATTTCGCCGAACATAACTGATTTGAAATTGGAGTAAAAACGGAAACCATTGAATGTAAATCAGTTTATATACATTCATACTACAGTATTATATGTGTTGCGACCTACTTTTGTCAATTTCTAGGTCCAAAATGTTAGCGATTTAGCTCCTTTAAGTTCAGATCGAGTTAATTTTCCAATAATCCACTAAATTTAATATGAGTGTATAATAAGTGATTCATATCCAATCATACAAAAATAAATTATAGTAATTTCTGATCAATTATGTTCGGTGAAATACGCGAACAGTCCAAATTAAACGGCAGTCATTTGTGCCTGCCTGTTTTGTCCATCCTACTGCACGGCTCAGGGTATTTTTTTTTTTTTTTTTTTTGAGGGGAGGGGCGGGGGCATTTGTGAATCAGCCATTTTTAATTACTTCTGCATTATCTTCTATGATATGTTTTTCTTTTGGTCATTATAATGGCGCTCGGGACAGTTATGTCCTTAGAATATTAGGATCACATATTTTTGACGGCAAGATAACGACGCCAGTCTTCTAATTCGTGTTATTAATTTCTAATTTGTGGATAATATTGAGTGACGCGATGGACACACCTGTCGAATTATTCGGCCAAATCAATTGGCGTCGAAATTCGCCGAGTGTGTCCACAGCTGTCATTCGGCCAATATTCACCCGAATCAAACATATTTGATATTCGCTTAGTGTGTCCGCTTCGCCGAAGCATTCGTCCGAATGTAGAATTCATTAGCTAATTCTCCAGTCATATCGAATAGCGAGAAGTCACGTGATTGTTTGAAGACATTGTCGCCGCCATGTTTAATCCTGTATCGTGAAAGGTGATGCAATCGATTGGTGAATCGGGCGAAGCATTCGCCTGGTGCGTCCACCCATTCGGCCGAATGATTCGGCTAATTCCATCGCTTTGAGGTTTAAAATGAAAGAAAAACAAAAACAAAAAAAAACAATAAAAAAATATACAAATCTTCAACAATGTTTTGTTTATTCATCATGCAACAATGTAATATATATTCATCATTTATTATTATAAAGTCCGAACCGTTTTTAAGTACGAACCGTCGATCGTCTAGACTGAGTTCAACCCGTCATCAGAAGAGCCCGAACCGTCGCTTTCAGAATATGGTATCCAAAAAGGTCGCGAAACCGAAACGTCTTATTGATACTTTCACCCCAACAATGTTTTGTTTATTCATCATAATGTATCAAGCAACAATTGATATTCATCATTTATTATTATCGAGTCCGAACCGCCGTTAGCCCGAGCCGTCGTCTAGACTGAGTTCAAATAAGAGTCTGAACCGTCGTTAAGTTCGAGTCGTCATCAGATGAGCCCGAAGTCGCTGTACGTATCCAAAAAGGTCGCGAAACCGAAATGTCTTCATACCTTCACGTCGACCCGCACCCCATTACAGTTAAAAACACAAAAATATAACCTTATACATCAAACATATTTAAACAAAAAAAACAAAAACCCAAAAAGCTGGCAGCGCCATTGCCTAATTTGTCACCAACCCTTATACACTGAATCAGTGCTACACGAGAGTTCCGATGTGCCATAAACATCTTATCTTACATGGACTATATATGATGGACAGGTGTTAGCATTGTTGCAAAACTTGGGGCCCGACTAATAACCGGAATTCACCGGAAATTCACATCTAATCACCGGAATTCACTTCGAAAATCCCCGATTCCTCCCACAAAATTAATTTTTTTTAAATGTATAATAACAAGGTTAATGTCGTTATAGGCTATAAAATTTGCATAAACTAAATATGACAAAGAAGTGAATATCCCGACTTGGATCTATTTTGCTTAATCACGCTGTAAAACTGTCGACAACGATGATGCCATTCTTTCCCGACCAATGAAAAAGACCTGACTGCGCGCGACTACAGGATTCTCGAACATTCCACCCTCGTTTGGGAGCGTCTTCGTGCAATGTGAAGAGGCCAGCCATTTTATTTTCACGTTGAAATTGCACACGGCACAAAAAAACAGACTTCACGAATATCACATATCGCCGGGATATTTAAGTGTGCTAAATAAAATATATTTTATAAGTGACATCAACTAAGCACGTTAAAACAGGTAAAATATTTGGTGTTTTTCTATTAAAATGCAACAGATTTCTCATTCTAACAAAGGCTTATTACATTGCACAGGCCCATGAGGCTGTTCGGGACAATAATAAGCTGCCTGTGACGAGGTTTCACATGTGCTTTTTTCACGGTGACACGTGAAATCTATATTTTTGTAAACAAATAATATTACTTTGATGTCACAGTAGTAAGATATCATCATATCATAAAGGCTTATCCATCACTTTGAACTTTGATTAGATAAACGAGTTAATGTCATGGGGATAGTAATGTATGACCTCTGTATGTCACTGTTTGACGAGTGGCTAACTGTAAATATACAGCTATTATAAAGACTGAGTGTTTTGCCTAATTTATTGGGTTGAACTAACGAACTAGAAAAATTCTACACAAAATTATTATAAATTCTAATTGGCTTTGGATTGTGCTCGATTTGGTTTCATTTCGACAGATAAAACTGTATTATAGTTTTATAGTGGATTTTACATCATTCAATTGATCCAGTTTAAAAGTTGAACAAAGAATATTTGAGCAAAAGATATTTGAGGCGTGAACTTTTAAATATTTTGGTGAAGTGACATCAGTTATTGTTGAGTTTGCAGATGGTTGGTAACAAAGTCATTATGAATGTACGTTTTTTCATATACATATTACATTCTTATTGTATTTGTATTGTACTTATATAAGTAGGTGTCATGGTCGAATATTATAAGAGAGAGAGAAATGGGGTTTAATGTCCACTCAACACAAACTAGGCCATTTTGGGACTAACACATGGTTCAATTTTATTTCAAAAATTTGCTTGCGCGTAGGGGTCTTTAGCATTGGGAGGAAACCGGAGGACCCAGAGAAAACCCACAAGGTTGGACAGACGACCCTACTCCTTGTCACAAACAACCAGGGAAATTGAGACCCCACCAGTTGACTCAATGACAGACCGTATGATACAGCACGCGCATGCTAACCATTCGGCCATTTAACCCCAACTAATATTATTATTAAAATAAGATGATCTAATATGTGAGCTTTAAATTCTTATCTGTCATTTTATTACCAGCTTACTGGCAAGCGGTAGGGTCACCCGTCCAAGCATGTGGGTTTTTTCCTGTCTCATTAAAACACAGATCCTATTTCGTTTTTTATAGTTCAAAATTTCGTTTTACTTGTCTTCACAACACTAGGATCTGGAAGAGTTAACAGGCGTTCTAGTTGATGTGGAGAATTAGCCAATGAAACGGTCTGTTACGGCGTGCTCTGCATGGAACTGTGGGTAAATCAATGTCTGACGTCATAGGGTAAAAAAAATGTTTGTATGACCCCTGACGCAACCTCCCACTACAACTGGTCAGATCTTCATGTAGTAGAGGCCATCGAAAGTATAAAAAAGCGAAACGAAATACAGATCTGTATTTTAATCAGATTGGGTTTTCTCTGGATCCTCGAGATCCAGCTCTCATACATGACAGCGAATTATTGAAATAAAATTGAACCATATATTAGTTCCGAAATTACATGTACCTAGATTGTGTCAAGTGAATATTAATCCCCTTATCTCTTTATCTCTTTGGTACATGTACATGTATATAATGTGATGTCCTATCATATTTATTTTTTATCTGTAATCATTGCTTGATAAAGACTAGAGAATAGGCCTACCAGAAGCGTTGTCGAAACAACGTTCGTAATAAACAATATGGTTGGTAATAAAATCATTATGAATGTAGGTTTTGTATTGATTTGTCTTATTTATTTATTTACTAGTCGTTTTTTTTTATCATATTTTGGATCGAAATATACTGGTGTCACACAGTATACCAGCAGGGCTGCCGACAACCAGTATCGCAGCGCAATTTGCGATACATATTTTGTCCGTTGCTAATCAAAAATTAAAATCTATAGTTTTTGATTCGCAGTAACTGCGAATCATTAATATGCCTGTCATTTTGGATATTGACACAAGGATAATCCACATTTGAAGACTAGAAGGCTTTCTGAACACTTTCAACGTGTATAAAATGTTGAATAAAATTTTATAAACAAAACTGAATTCTCCGTGTGACATTTTTTTCTCGAACTACCCAGACACAATTCATTATACGGTACTATATAATACAGGGACATAACTCTATGAATAGGGACTATTAAACCGGAAATAGGGAATCAAGTAGTACCACTCACGTTGCGAGACATCAAGTAATTATATTATATTCATTTTGAAAGAAATAAAGCCAGTGTATCCCCCACGTATTGTAAATAAAATATAAAAAAATAAATATATGTTAACGTATTGTAAAATGATAAATCAAAGTAAAAATTCCCGTAAAATATCGCGTGTGTCTAGTTAATCGAGGTGCGCTCGATTGAACAAAAATAGCAATACACGATAAAAACCAGACGAAATCGTTTTCTAACGAAGATTTCTAACGTAACAAAAAATAACAATTAAAATGATTGAGGCCTTGGAAGTCACTGTTAAGAATTGGATTCAGACATAAGACCTAACTAAATGTCTACATCACATTCACAAACTGTCACAAGTACTTGTGGCAGTGCTAAAAAAATCTAAGAATAGTAAGAATGGAATCTAATCATATTTGTTATGAACTAAAGTAATATCTTGTTATTTAGGTTTTTATGTTGAAACTGAAAAACTGCTAATCAATTTTTAAATTTGCTAATCAAATTTGGCAAAATTGGACTTTTTGATTAGCAGTTCTGCTAATCAACTGTGAAAAATTACCGACAGCCCTGTATACCAGTATTGTAATTTGTATTCAATAGAATTGTGCCCAGTGTATTTCGTGTTCAATTACTAAATGTCATTGAAAGAAGTTATATATATAGGTGACCTGCTTTTAAGACTTTCCTTTTAGTACATGTAGGCCTATTACTAAGTCAATTGTTAACCAATAATTGTAAGTATGATATATATTGAAATAATTTGAAAGATAATATTAATAAAGATCACATTATATTAATAGTAGGCCTAACAATAATTTCTGTACGATAATATGGTTAAGTGCATTCTTAAAGGACAATTTACAACAGGATTAGATATTTTTGAAATGTTTATACCGGTAAGCCTTTCATCCATTTAATATTCTATGTCAAGTTGTTTGCTATTGCCAATATGATATCATATTGTTTATGACAGATGTTGACATTCTGAGATAAATACCAAGTATAAATACTTCCTATAGGCTAAAACAAATAACGTATTTGCTGTAAAATATACAGAAGACCTCAGTTTTTCGTCCCATCCAAATGACTACACAGCTGTCCTTGTTAGGTCTGCTGTCCTAAATCCAGGGGAACTTTCTTGGCCAACACCAGGAGCAAACCCCTGACCATCAGGCTAGCAAGCCAGAATTTTACTCACTGATCCAACGCAGCCCTTTATTAGATTAAATAAGGTAAAAGAAAATACTGGAGATTATAAGCTGTAAACCAGTCAGTACTTTATATAAGCTACATGTAAATAAATTGCGTCGTGTGAGATATTAGATATTAGTTTTTCATATAGGGTCGTTTATTGTTACCTAACAGTGTATCACAGTATAATTATTGCAAAATCCAATTACATGGAAAAAAAAAACCCCCAAAAAAAAATTTTTTTTTCAAAATCCAATTTCAGGTAACAAACAAAAGAACACTATTTTTATTTGATCAAGTAATCCATACAAAGTTTTTAAATTACCGTGTAGGTTATTGTCATAGAATACAAAACTAAAAATTCACAACAGTACCCGGTACATGAAAAGGTCTAAAATTACCTGTATGCTTACATGGATTTTAGAGGGGTTGGATGGCTGAATGGTTAGCGTGCGCGCGCTGTATCATAAAGTCTGTCATTGAGTTGACTGGCGTGGTTTTGAACGTGACAAGGAGTAGGGTCGCCTGTCCAACCTCGTGGGTTTCCTCCGGGACCTCCGGTTTCCTCCCACAGCTAAAGACCCCTACGCGCAAGCGAATTATTGAAATAAAATTAAACCATATGTTAGTCCCGAAATGACCTAGTTTGTGTCGAGTGGACGTTAAACCCCATTTCTTCCTCTCCCTCACATGGATTTTATTAAATAAATGATAGAACATGTTTTTATACAAGTACTGGTAAATAATAAAAAAAAAGCATGAAGTATAGTTTATAAGTATTATGAATCCAGGAATGATCCCCTAACATGCAGTTGTTGATCTTCAGAACGATTTCCCATACACACAACTAATCACTCTCCTTGATATCAGATCACTCGCCTTAATTTCTAAATCACTCTTCTTATCAAAACTGGGAGAGCTTTTCTAGGGGAGAGATTTTTTCAATTTGTTGATTAAAGTGAGATTTTTTCGACTCTCCTCTAACATACAAACAACAACGACAGGGGGTGGGGAGTGCTGATTGAGTTGCAGCCATAGGCCCCCAATTTTAAAGGGCCCCTAGAAATACTTCTCAATTCTAAAGAAAGTTGGTTCCATAAATATTATGTCATTTACTATGTTGGACATGTTGATGCCAAATTAATCTATATACATATATCTACCTTTTCACTGTTGCTGCAAGGCCCCCATTGTGACATCCTCATCCAGTGGCAATGAATTTTAGATAGATCTAATATGTATAACATGCATAAGGCATTAAGTGGAGAGAGACAAAAAGGGAAAGAGGCAATGAGGGGGCTGCTTAATTAGGGAGTTGGCCTACTGGTGTAGCCTACAAGTTATACACCTGTATGATTATGTGTTTCTATGTGTATATATATATTCGTGTTAGATAATATTTACACATACTGTAACTTGATATTGTTACAAAACTGATATTGTTACGAGTACAGGTATTTTTGTACAATTCATATGCATGGATACAAAACCTTAATGTCTGTTATCGGCACCGTGGGTGGAAAGAGACGTTAAGGGTGACAAAACACGACCTGATTGAGTTTTAGGTCTTAACACAAGGTACAATTTTATGGATACACAATTACTGAGTTTAATACTAAGCGACGTTTCGACGAGGATACTCTCATCTTTATCAAACAAATGATACAGGTATGTGAATAGTAGGCAAATATATACAGAATGGCCCCCTAATCAAAGGTGTTCAGATTTAATTGTATTTGATTCTTATTTTTGTTGCATATTCTGTATATATTTGCCTACTATTCACATACCTGTATCATTTGCTTGATAAAGATGAGAGTATCCTCGTCGAAACGTCGCTTAGTATTAAACTCAGTAATTGTGTATCCATAAAATTGTACCTTGTGTTAAGACCTAAAACTCTTGCTAACCTGATTACTAGATCTTGTTCTCTCATAACGGTATACTGCAATGATCGCTGAAATTACAGCCAGAGATGCTTTTAATTAATACTTGCTCTAAAGGCTAAACATAGTCCTGACCAGTTAGCATCTGATCAACATCTGTAAAGTAGTACCATACAAAAATAGGCTGTGAGAAACCATATTTATTTTCGGCATGGAGGAGGAGCCACATTGGCTTATACATTGGCTCACTAACCTGGAAGTCCCATGTTTGATCCCTGCATTGGGCGAGAAAGTGTATTGGGATTTTCCAGAGTGGTTCCTCCTTGTCAGTGGTGCAGGACCATAGTCGTTTGGATGGGAAGAAAAACTGAGGTCCTGTGTGTACTCATTGGCGGGCACATAAAAGATCCCTGCACAATTGGAATTCGAAATAAGAGTAGGGCAAAATTTTCTTCATAGCACACTGTATGGTGTATACCCATCTTCATTAGCCCAGTCGGAACAAAACAGTAGAAAGCTAATCCCCATTTCTTTTCTTGATTTTTTTCAGAGTAACAGTGGTGACAGTGGATTAACTATTAGCTGGGCTAAGGTGTTTTCAATCATGTGTGTCACAAGGAAACTGTGTATAGTATGCTTCTTAGCTAGCTATCTACTTTCATTTTCACCAACCAACTCGGAAACGACACCAAAAAATGGTCCGCTGCATATTCATGATCATGATGGCTATCAAATCGCAGAAAAATCAAAGGAAGCTATTGCCAGATTGGAGAGCAGATATTTTGTGACAAAGATTTTTGAAAAGTATGGAGGAGCAAATGGAACCCTTACCTATGACATGTTTGAAAATTTGATGCTTAATTTAGGCCTTGGAAAGAATAATTCACTGTTCAAGCAGTTAACAAACACCACAGCGAATGAAACAAATGAGCACCAGGCAGAGCATGATCCACAAATGGAAAACCATGAGCATGATCACGAAGGCAATCACAATCCTAAAGATCACAAAGACAGCCATGTGGCTCATAATACAAAAGATCACCAAGATGATCATGGTCATCAGGATACTGAAGATCCCCAAGAACTCCGTGATCAAGAAGATGTTACTGATGACAACCATGATCACCAAGGCAGCCATGATGACCATGATCACCAAGGCAGCCATGATGACCATGATCACCAAGGCAGCCATGATGACCATGATCATCAAGACAACCATGATCACCAAGACAACCACAATCATGAAAGTGAAGAACATGTAGGTCATACTGAAATTGATGAAAGTCTAGATACCACGACGGCTATTGCTGAATCAAAAAGAGAAAGTAAAAAAGATAAGAAACCAGAAAACAGTAGAAAGAAATCAACCGATAAAAAGAAAAGAAAGAAGAAAAAGAAAAATAAGAAAAAGAACTCAGAAAGAAAAAATATTCAGAAGCGATCTGTTGAACATCATACTGATCATTCTTTGGTAAGTTACAACTTTCATTATTTGGAAATTTTAGAGAAAAAGCCATTTTTGGATATTTTGAGGTAGTCCCAAATCAAGGCACAAAATGTCAAACAAAAATTACACAGGTACATGTCATCATTTTTGCTAGAAAATAACTTACAGCATGCAACAATCCATTCAGGCTGCCAAGAAAAGCGAATTTATAAAATAGCATGCTTGAAGACAGTTACATGTACATACATGTAGCAGAGTTTTTTGCCTCACCTTGGCCTTCAGAAAACATTGTTAAACTGATTTATTTGCCCCACCTTGGCCTTCAGAAGACATTAAGTGGTTTAAATCATATTCACCACAGTTTTATACCAGTGTTAACGTATGCATCTGAAAGGCATATTAATCATAGCATGCAGTCCATCTAGGCAGCTCAAATTGTCAAGTGTTCTTTTCATACATTTTCAAATTAAAATATATTCACACCACATCCTCAAGGGTCCTGTGTTCTATTCTTAAATTAAATATGATTGAATCATCAAGGGTTGTGTGTTTTTTAAGGCCTATTCTCAAAGTAAATATGATCGAATCATCAAGGGTTGTGTGTTTTTTAAGGCCTATTCTCAAAATAAAAATGAACAAATTGTTGAGTGGGTCATGTGATTTAACCCCAAATAAATATGATCGAATCATCAAGGGTTGTGTGTTTTTTAAGGCCTATTCTCAAAATAAAAATGAACAAATTGTTGAGTTGGTCATGTGATACCTCAAAGTAAATATGATCGAATCATCAAGGGTTGTGTGTTTTAGGCCTATCCTCAAAATAAAAATGATCAAATTGTTGAATGGGTCATGTGTTTTATCCCCAATTTAAATATGATTGAATTGTCAAGGGTTATGTGTTTTAGGCCTACCTGCAAAATAAAAAAGATCAAATTGTTGAATGGGTCATGTGTTTTATCCCCAATTTAAATATGATCGAATTGTCAAGGGTTATGTGTTTTAGGCCTACCTGCAAAATAAAAAAGATCAAATTGTTGAATGGGTCATGTGTTTTATCCCCAAATTAATTATGATCGAATCATCAAGGGTTGTGTGTTTAGGCCTATCTGCAAAATAAAAAAATCAAATTGTTGAATGGGTCATGTGTTTTATCCCCAAATTAAATATGATCGAATCATCAAGGTTTGTGTGTTTTTTAAGGCCTATCCTCAAAATAAAAATGATCAAATTGTTGAATGGGTCCTGATTTAACCCCAAAGTAAATACATGTATGATCAAATCGTAAAGAGTCTTGTGTTTTATCCTGAACTTAATTGTTTTTGAATACAACCATAAAATGGGTGGCGTGGCTGTGTGATTGGTCAAATGGTTTAAAGTATGATCTTGGTCAAATGGTTTAAAGTATGCCCTTTAGATCATAAGGACAAAGGTTTGTCATTGAGTCAAGTGGCATGTTTCAGATTCCCCGCTTGTATGTGACAATCTGTGAAGAATGTGATTTAGGTCCAAAAGTAATAATAAAAACAATTGAAACAGCTGAATAAATAAAATTCTAAATGTACAGTGTTCTTCGGTTCATTTTATTTATTCTTATTATACAATCAGCACTCTAAAGCTTAAAAATTGTGAAATATTTCTACTATGAATCATTGCTAAGTCAGCTGGAACACTAATTTAGATGCAATCAGCAGGAATGCCTGAATGAAAACCTTTTAAGATATATTTATGAGTAGCCTACGTGAATGACATTTATGTAAGTATTGCAGATAATTGGGTTAAATCAGTGTCTTTAACCTTTGTTGTTTTCTTCGATCTGTTGTTGAATTCACACCCCAGGTGAAATCGGTTGGAACAATCAGATGAAATCATCTGGAATGCTTAGATAAAGACCTTCAGGCCATGAAACAAAATATGGTGTGTATACTTGAACGTAAAAATACAATGTAGGGCTTATAGTTAGGCCTACGGGTACATTTTAATTTAGAAAATTACATGTAACTATCCCACCTCATTATGCCAGTAATTTTACATAAAAATGGGGAGTATACTAGTAGTTATCAGAGGGTAACCATAACTGTAAATTTGTTTTGAGGGAGGGGTTTTTATAGTTCAGCCTACCGGTATATTTTGATTAACACATGTAGAAAATTATCTATCCCACTTATTACATAAAAAAAGGGTATTATACTAGTTATCAACATAGATGATATACATGTACACATGTACCCACACTCCCTTTTATCAGAGTGTAACCGTAACACAGGTAATTTGTTTTGAGGGAGGGGGTGCTTTCCATAATATATTCTGATTTACATTTGTAGGAAATTAACTATACATGTAATACCCAGTAATTGTACTTAAAAAAGGGTAGTGTACTAGTAGTACATGTATACTATAAGCTGCTGAGAACTGGGTTAATTAGTCACTATCATTAACACTCCAAAGTGAGAAAATTTTCTACCGCTTAGGGGATTGAATAGTTGCGTGATACAAATATTATTATTATTATTATTGACATAGATAATATACACATGTAACCACACTCCCTTTTGTAATAGATAATTAAGTCTATCTTCTATTGGGAAATTAGTTTAAACGATAAGCATTCGATTTCAAATAATCTGATTTTTAAGATGGAAGGTTTGATTGACCAAAGTTAAATAGGTTAGTAAGTATATGTGTAATATGAAACAGGCTATGATGAGTGTAATTCTATTTCCTGAGGTTTACTGAATTGGGAGTGGTGATGATGATCCTTGAAACTGACAAATATGACTAAAACAAAAGACCTGGTTAGAGAGAGAGAGAGAGAAATGGGGATTAAAGTCCACTCGATACAAAATAGATCATTTTGAGACTAAGATATGCTTCAATTAGATTTCACTAAATCACTTGCACGTAGGGGTCTTTAGCAATGCAAGGAAACAGGAGGACACAGACTACCAGAGAAAACCCATGATGTTTCACAGGCGACCATACTCCTTGCACTTACAATCGGGGAATAAAAACCATGCCAGATGAATCAATCATAATAACAGACCTTTGTTAAGGCCAGCTCAATTATTGTCAAGGTCGTTGAGATGTAAATAAGGTTTGGGCACGTGATTGTTGGCGAGGTTGTAGGTAAGGGTTAGTGTAAGCATTTGGGCCAGGTCCAGAGTTAGGGTAGTGGTTGGGTTTAGCGCCAGCTCTGTTTACATCTATTGACCACTGACGGGAAATTGAGCTGGCCTTGTCATTTAGCACTAACCTTGCCCTGAATAGAAGCATATGACCATGAACTTAAGATCATGATCACTCAATAAACCAAGGGCAAAAATAGGCCATTATACACAAAACTGATTGATGGATAGATGAAAGAAGACATTTTGATAATAAAAGTTATTTAAACATACATTATGCAAGAGCTAAATCTTTAGGCCTGAAATGTTATATAAACTATTAATTAGACATTAATTAACTTATCCAAACCATAATCAACTCTCGATGCCATCTTATGTGTCGGATTTTCACTCGTTTTGAATCCAATCTGCTGCTCAACGCTCATTGATGATTAAATCCAAAATGGATAATTGAGACTACCCGTATGTTTTTTATTGTACCGACTTTAGTAATGATGATCAAGGCTAGGCTTAAAATTCAAAATATCTTGGTTCAGAGTGGAGCAATTTGACTGGAATTTCAACATATTCTACGTGCGTTATCTATTTTTTTTAAACTATTATAGCACAAACTCTTTATCTAATCTCCCATAATGTATCTTTAAATAACTAAAACAAATTTTTCATTAATAGATGATTATTATCCTATTACATGAACAAAATGTGGTAGACATGTGAATTCACCATACGGTACTTAGATAAAAGCATAAAAAACCCAAAGTTTCTGTGCGTTATCAAGAATGACCGACCATCAAAAGTTTGAAGACGAAGCCCTGTGTTTACACCAGTGGAGTTACAATTTGACATTCTTTATGATATACATACACATTATTAAAAATGACCAACAGTTTATGTGGAACCCCTACATGTATATGTTGGTTATAATTTTAATAATTTATAATTTGACATTCTTTAACTCAAGTGACACTTTCCGAGGCATTTATGATGACAAAGGTCTATATGGTCACTTTAAGTTTATTTATTACTCCTGATTATCATCCACCGTTCGACCCACATACACATGAAGAACAATGTGTGCAATAATTTATCAGCATATTACTAATAAATTTATCTATGATAAAATTTTATAAAGATATAAATAAATAAGATGAAATAATTCTAACATTTATGCCCTATAAATCTTGCTATGACAAGTCATTTTTCTGGCTTCAAATGTTATATAAATTGTTGGGGGTTTAAATGGCTGAATGGTTAGCAAGTGCACGCTGTATCATGAGGTCTATCATTGAGTCAACTGGCATGGTTTTGATTCCCTGGTTGTACATGACAAGGAGTAGGGTCAGCTGTCCAACCTCATGGGTTTTCTTAACTCTCTAGATTGTCAGATGACTGGTGGGGGGATGGATGGCCGAATGGTTAGCACGTGCGTGCTGTATTATAAGGTCTGGCCTGGTTTCGATTCCCCGGTTGCACATGACGAGGAGCAGGGTCGTCTGTCCAACCTCGTGGGTTTTCGACGGATCCTCCGGTTTCCTCCCACTGTTAACCGCTATGCGCAAGCAAATTATTGAAATTAAAGTGAACCATGTTTTAGTCCCGAAATGACCTAGTTTGTGTTGAGTGGACATTAAACCCCATTTCTCCCTCTATCAGATGACTGAGATATTCATAGATTAGATCAGTCGTCCCATATAATAATTTCACGTTAAAATAGATAATTAAGACTATTTTTGTGGTAATGATACTGGACAGTCGAGACTATTTACGCTATAACTTGTCAAAATTTGATCAGAATAAAGTATTTTTGAACGATTATAACAAGAACGGACAGATCTCTATCAAAATCTTACATAATACATCTTTTAAACTTTAGTCAATATTATTTTAGTACACATGTTCTTTCCTATTGTTCTTAATCAAATACTCTCAATATAGCGATATAGCAAGGGTTCTCTGTGCCACAGGTTAAATACCATTTTGTTATTTCAAACAAGTTAGTAATAATTTCGTCCTACCGGTACTTTTGTTAAATTCAATAATAAAAGAAAAAGAAATCAGTGAAATGAAATAGATTTGATTATACATGTATATTGAATAAATGTTGAACAAACATGTAGTGTTATTTGTAATGTTATCATTTATATTTGGAGCAAAAATAAAAATCTGAAAAAGGGGCGACACCTTTGCAGCTCTGCCCAGGGATGACTTATGTCCCCATCTGTCTCCCTTGACACCTCTACCCCCTTCTTCTACCAAGCCAGTGTTATCAAAAATGGCAAAACTTAAGATTTTAACTTAAAATAAATGGCTCGAACATAATTTAACATGTTTCCTCTGTGCTTTTTTTTCCAGTGTTTATCATCAATGGAATTATTAAAAACTTTTCATTACGATGAGAGAAAAGGTATTGACGAAGATTCTTTCATATACCTGTGCCCAGCCTTACTGTTTCAAATAGAGACTAACAGTTGTCGTAGCAATACAGGAAAGCGGGACCATCTTCATGACAACCATGACCACGATCACCACCATCATGATAAAAATAGTAATTCCAGTATTTTAATGAATTCAATTAAAGACATAAATAACATTGCTCCAAAAGGTAAGTTCAAAACTTAAATCGGCAATTTAACTGTATGAATATTTGGCATGCACGTAAAATATCACTTGATAGTTGAAATTTCCCTTGTAGCACACTGTATAGCGTATGCCTATCTTCATCAGCCCAGTCGGAGCAGAACAGTAGGACCTTAAACCCCATTTCATTTTATTTCATCTGGATTTTCTGACATTTCCCTGTGTCAGTGGTGCAGGACAGGGGGCCTGACAAGGTCAGCTGTCTAGTCATTCTGATGGAATGAAAAACTGAGGTCCCATGTACACATTGGCATGCACGTAAAAGATCCCCTGGTAATTGGAATTCAATGTAAGAGAATTATCACCGCTGTCTGGGAAAATTTCGTTCATAGCACACTGTATGGCGAATGCCCGTCTTCATTAGCCTAGTCGGAGCAGAACAGTAGGACGTTAAAACCCATTTCATTCATTTAATTTCTAATATATATTATATATGTTTATATGTATAATTTATCTTATAGTGTGGGGATATAGTACCATAGCTGTTGTGGTGATTAGTCTAGCTGGTTTGTTTGGTGTGGCTGTTATTCCAATAATGCAGAAAGTCTTTTATAACCATCTGCTACAGTTCTTGGTGGCGCTTGCTGTTGGTGCTTTATCAGGAGATTCACTTCTTCATTTACTGCCGCACGTAAGTTCCAACAATCTTTATTTTAATTGTTCGTTTAACAAGATGCTACTGGTGGGAACAAAACCCCCGACCCCGTGACCAGGCAAAAATTGTACAATACATTGGTCTCAGAATAGCTAAAATTTTGTTGATCCTTTCCTTTTTGCTTCTGCGATAACAAATAGTTGGGTAGTACTCTTAACTTTGTGGGGTTTTCTCTAGACTCTGTTTTCCTTTTACTAATTATAGACTCATACTTGTGATTAATCAAATTAATATATATACCACATGTTAGAAATGAAATGGGGTTCAACGTCCTACTGTTCTGCTCCTATACTGGGCTAATGAAGACGGGCATACAGCACTATGAGGGAAATTTTGCCCGGGCAGCGGCACTATCGCCTACTTTTATATCGAATTCCAAGGGATCTTTTACGTGCATTCCAATGTATACATAGGACCTCGGTTTTTCGTCTCATCCAAGGGACTAAGCAGCTGTCCTTGCCAGGCCCTCCGTTCTGCACCATTGACAAGGGGAAACCACGTCAGAAAGTCCTGATGAACTTTCTCTGCCAATGCAGGGATCGAACACCCGACCTCCAGGCTAGCGAGCCAGCGTCTTAACCACCTAGCAACCGTGGCTCCTACCACATGTTAGAGCCAAAATGCCTTAAATGTGTTAAGTAGAAGTTAAACATTTAAGAAGACTTAATATGTTTTCATATGTAGTGTATAATATATTGTCACAAAAATCACATGCTCCATAAGTTTCACAAACACCTTTTGTGCTCCTAACCATGGAAACATCCACAATGTTAATTAATAAATAACATAAGTATTATTGTGAAATGTCATTTATTATTCGAAATGCCGATATGAAAACATGAAATGTGAATGCAAGCAATTTTGAATATTTCCAGAATTTCATGTTTTCTGGGTTGAATGAAATTAATTTACCCACCATTTCTCTCTCTTTTTATCCAGGCTATTGGTGGAGGTCATAGTGCACAAGGTCATGATGATCATGGACATGGGGAAGGCAATGACAGCCATCTTAAAGCAACTTATAAAGGTTTAATAGCACTAACCGGTATTTTCTTCTTTTTCCTAATGGAGAGAATTTTAACTATTATGACAGATCTGAAAAGAAAACGTAAACAAACGGTGAGACATTTATTCTTTTTGAGCCAAATATTCTAACTTCCTTTCAGTTTCTGTGAAACGTTTTTTGAGAATAATAAGTCCACTCATTGTCAGGCTCAAAAAAGAGGTAAAGGCTTTTCTAGGCATTGGTTACCTTGTTCATATATAAATTGTGTTTGAAGGATTATAGCCCCAATCAAACTTTACCAGATTCTTAAAGATTAAGGTCACATTAAAGAATTAAAAACAGCACTGGTGCCAGTCATTATTGTTGCTATATATATATACAGTCCCCTTTTAGACTGTAGATTACTGGGTATACATGTAATACATAAGATACAAGACCAGATCGTGGCAGACACAGAGATGTGAGCTTCTGGCTAATTAATTGATCTGATTGCTATGTTATTTTCAGGAGGGTGGGGGCGGGGAGGCAGGTCTTGTGTTCAAGCATGTTGCGCTTCGAGCTCTAGTTGGCTGGTTGTGGTTTCGATCCCCGGTTTGAGCATATGTGTGAAAGACCCATATGAGTCCACTCAACTAATGAACAACAATGACAACTTGTCTGCGATATCATCTCTGTGAAAGTAAACATTAAACACCAAGATTGAAAAATAAAGTATTGATTCAACTTCGTTTATTTGAACCTTTAGTCAGTGAAATTTATTTAGGAAAAAGTAGACCTCTTCTTTGTACATGTACGTTATTTTATTAATAATAGGTGATAGCCATCAGTGACAATAACACGGATGTTATCATCATGAATGTGGCAAACCCACAAAATGAAACCGGAGGATCCAGAGAAAACCCTTGAGGTTTGACAGGCGACCCTACTCCTTGTCACGTACAAGCGGGGAACCGAAACCACGCCACTTGACTCAATGACAGACCTTCTGATACAACCGTAATCATTCGGCTACCCAACCCCTCTTCGTGTTTTCAATCCCATGTGGGTATGACAAACTTAACCACAAGGTTCCTGTTCTGGTTTCTATGTCACAATTAACAGCAATAAAATCAATTGAAGGGTGAATGGGGCAAAATAACATCCATGTGTCAGACCACTTAGCTGCTTTGAGCAACAGTTTCTTTGCATCACAACCTATATTTAGGCTCCTACTATATGAAACTTCCTTCCATTTGTATGAAAAACTGAAAATATGTATAACTTACTCATTATTTACAGAAAAGGTTAAAGAATCAGACACCACACAAACAATGTCAGGTCGAGAGTGATAAGGCCGTTGGTGCCAAATTATCAACACATACAGATTCTGATTATCAGACCTGTGAAGAAATGGTTATGATCGTACATCCTAATAAAGGTATGTTTTTTTTATATAATTACATAATGGGGAGGAGGGGCAAAGGATTAAATAGCCTAAATGAACACATTGTTGATCTAATTAATGCTAGGTTCCCACTATCACGATTTGTGCTGCGATTGAAATCGTGGTTTTAATCGTGGTGACCCTATCAGGTCTTATCATATATAGAGGTCAGTTATAGCAATCGAGTTGAGCGTATCAAAATGTATTCAAACGTATCTGCACGTATCAGATTGTGGACGCAATGGGAACAACCCTATCGTAACACAATGGGAACCTAGCATAAAAGACAGTGTAAGGATATCTCGTGTTTTCCTTCTTTTGTGTCACTTCCTGATTCTTCAAATTTTGTTACGCATCAACCATAGCAAAGGTCTCAGTGTTAGGACTATATTTTGAATGTGTTCAACCAGGGCCCTGTTTCTCGAAATCTTAACTAAAGATAAAATCCAAATTTTAGCAGATACTTCAATTTTGATTGGCTAAGCACTAAAATTAATCTACTATTATCCAATCAAATTACTAAAATTTAGATTTTATCTTAGTTAAAATTTTGTGAAACAGGACCCAGGTCTATAACATATGTGTAATATTGGCCGACACCAACATTGTCCTTTAATATTATTAATGATGGTGATTTTCTATAGTGCTGAACATGAGAGAAAAAAAGGGTATCCATTGTCAATCAAAACTAATGGAAAATGATCAGTTTGGGTAAAAGAAAATAAACTGATTTGAAGGAAATATATACTCTGAATATTAAAATAGTAAAATGTAGCCAAATATTTTCTCGATAACCATTTTATTTAATTGCTAATTTTAATAACAATGACCAAAATATAGCAGTTGATCATTTACATTATTTATTATGTAGAAATGTTTATTGTTTAATGGTGGGGTCACAGTGGCTAAGTGGGTAAGACACTGGCTCGCTAGCGTGGAGGTCGGGTGTTCGATCCCTGCATTGGCTGAGAAAGTTCATTGGGATTTTCCAACATATCTCCCTTGTCAGTGATGCAGGACGGAGGACCTGACAAGGACAGATGTCTAGTCATTCGGATGGTACGAAAAACGAGGTCCCGTGTACACATTGACGTGCACATAAAAGATCCCATGACAGTTGGAATTCGATATAAGAGTAGGCCGTAGTGCCGCTGTCTGGGCAAAATTTCCCTCATAGTACACTGTTTGGTGTATGCCCGTCTTCATTAGCCCAGTTAGGAGCAGAACAGTAGGACGTTAAATCCCATTTCATTTCATTTATTGTTATATTTTGATTAAATTTGAATTATCTTAAGATCAGTGTAAGTATTTTAAGAGATTTTGTTTCACTTAACTTAACAATCTGATTAATATATAGATCTATATTACTTTTCGTTTGTTTATATTTTCAATGGCATACACTACATGAAGATCTGACCAGTTGTATTGGGAGGTTGCATCAGGGGTCATACGAGCAGCTTTTGACCCTATGATGTCAGCTTTTGACTAATCAATCAGCTTTGAAGTGTCTAGTGGTTTACCCACAGTTCCGTGCATTGCATGCCAAGAATTAGTCCGTAACAAATTGTTCATTGGCTAATCCCTTACGCTATCCAGAACGCAGGTTATATAACAACTCTCCCAGATCCTAGTGTAGTACAGACAAATGAAACGAAATTTTGAACTATAAAAATGAAACGAAATAAGATCTGTGTTTTAATCAGATTGACTCAACAAGAATGTATGGGAGCTGGAAATTGGTTTTATATCGTGCACATACAATACAATGGAATTCTACCATGCACAGACCATGTGGGCATGTAGAATTTGGTTGTATTGTAGATTCATGCCAAGTATTCACTGAAACTTGGTCTATAAGCATAAGGAGTTATGAACATGGACTGTTTACTTTTGCACTGGACTATTACTTTTTTTATAAGATCATTTCACAAAATTTATTGTTTTATGGATATAAACTATTTAAACTATTTGCAGTTGCACTGAACTTATGTATACTGGGTCACATGCAGTTACACTGATCTAGGCCATATATAGTTGCACTGAACTTCCACAATCTGGGCCATATGCAGTCACACTGAACTTATGTGAAATGGACTATTTCTATTTAAGTTGCACTGAACATATGTAAACTGGGTCGTATGCAGTTGCACTGAGCCTATACAAACTTGGTCATATGCAGTTACACTGATCTAGGCCATATATAGTTGCACTGAACTTACACAATCTGGGCCATATGCAGTCACAATGAACTTATGTGAAATGGACTATTTCTATTTAAGTTGCACTGAACATATGTAAACTGGGTCGTATGCAGTTGCACTGAGCGTATACAAACTGGGTCATATGCAGTTGCATTGAGCTTATACAACTGGGTCGTATGCAGTTGATCTGAGCTTATACAAACTGGCCATATGCAGTTGCACCGAACTTATAAATACAGGGCCGTATGCAGTTGCACTGATCTTCTGTAAACTGGACTAATGCAGTTGCACTGAACCTATGACATGTAAATCAGGTCATATGTAGTTGCACTGATCTTATGTATGGGTGTATGCAGTTGCACCAAACTTATGTAAACTGGACTATATGCACTTGCGTCAAACTAATACAAACTGAGCCATATACAGTTGCACCAAAATAATACAAACTGGGCCATATGCAGTTGTATCGAACTAATACAAACTGGGCCATATATATTTGCACTGAACTTATATGAACTGGACTATATGTAGTTGTACTGATGTTATGAATACTGGGTATGGTCATATGCATTTGCACCAAACTTATGAAACTTGACCATATGCGATCGCTCCAAACTTATGTAAACTGGACCACATGTATTTGCACCAAACTTATTGTATACCCTGACCTCTAAGTTGCTGTATCAAAACATATCACATCCCATTCATTTTCCACATGTGTAAAAATAACAAAGTAAACAGAAAGATAAGAAGGGAAAAAGATCCAAAACAATTTTTACAGTAAAAGGTAAAAGAAACTTCCTGGTTTCTGTACAATTATTTCTTCGATACAGGATCTTAAATTCAACACATACATGTACATGTCTACATGTATATGCGTTTTTGGTTATAAGTTATGCACTATACACCTTAAACCATCTCTTAGCAAGGATATTTTATATAATTTTATGTACGAGCTTATATATAAGTTTTTGATTATACATGTATGTTATGCTCTGTCCACCTTAAACCATCTCTTAGCAAGGATATTTTATGTACGAGCGTATATATAAGTTTTTGATTATATGTTATGCTCTATAGTATTTTCACCTTTTGATTATAAGTTATGCACTATATATATATACCTTAGCAAAGAAATTTTAAAACTAGTGAAAGGATTGTAAATTTTGGTCAACACTTCAGTCTCAACTGGTAATATCGCAGGTCGATTCCCGACCAGGGCTGAGAAGGGTCAGAAAATGGTTACATTGTTGGCTTTATGCTATCAACATCAAGCTGGAATTCCAACTGCCAATATATATGTCCACTATTAATTTGTACATGTGACATTATTTTCTTGGGAGGTTGGATGGCCGAATGGTTAGCACGTGCACGCTGTATCATAAGGTCTGTCATTGAGTCAACTGGTGTGGTTTCGATTCCCCGGTTGTACGTGACAAGGGGTAGGGTCGCCTGTCCAACCTTGTGGGTTTCCTCCGTGTTCTCCAGTTTCCTCCCACTGCTAAAGACCCCTACACGCAAACAAATTATTGAAATAAAATTGAACCATATGTTAGTCCCGAAATGACCTAGTTTATGTCAAGTGGACGTTACACACCAATTCTCTTTCTCTCTCATTATTTATTGTGTGCATTGTGGTAACCAGGGCACTGGTACATTGTATATTAGAGATTTAACCTCGCTTTCCCATTCTTGAATTAAATTTTTAATTAATGGCAAACCGTTCTAATCTAGTTAAAATCTCGAGGATCCGATGCCATCAAGAGTTGATTATGGTCTTGTTTTGTTAATAAAAGTCTAATTAATAGTATATATACATGTAACAATACAGGCCTAAAGAAAGACCTGCAATAGGCAGATTTAGCTCTTGTATAATATATGTTTAATATTGAAATAAACAATTATGTAAGGATAAGGATGGTGTCCAATTTAAGAGATCAACACTTTATTTTTGGTATTTAGAGGGATGTTAAAAGGGTCACCTTGATATTAATCTAGGAAGATCAAGACTTCCTTCCATTAAATATTATAGTGATTTAGTTTATGATCGAGTGACTAACGTTTACAAACAATACATTAGGATTATGTTGATTATATACATGTTTAGGTATGTGCGATCTAAGAGATTGTTTAAAATCTTTCCTTCAATTTATCAGTGAAAATTAACCGTAAATTGTTTTTTTGAATTTTGAACCAAAAATAGCAGCAATTGTCTGCTTTATTTGGTGACATGCACTGAATTGCCTTTAGGTGGAGAGTTTTTAAAGGCCTACAAAGTCAACAAGTAAATTGTCATTGTTGAAATTCAATGATCCGTGAACAATAAATAAAGTCGATAAATCTTATAGGCACGCCATAGCTGTAAATTTATTCTGTAAACAGCCTTAATATTCTCTGTTGTTATACGCCCACATTGAAATATGGTTGTATATTGTCGTCGCCCCGTCCATCGGTCCTATAAGAAGCTAAAGTTAATATCCGATTGACTTTATTTTTATACACAGTCATGAGACGAAGAAGCCTATTGATTTTCAACGATTTCCAATAATTACTGCCAGGGTTATGGCCCTTGATCACTTCAAAAAATCTTGTGGATGTTCTAGAGGCTAAATTTAATATCCGATTGACTTTAATTTTATACACAGTGTTTAAGGTCATGAGACGAAGAAGCCTATTGCTTTTAAGCAATTTTCGATAATTACTGCCAGAGTTATGGCCCTTGATCACTTTGAAAAATATTGTGGACGCTCGATCTAGAGGCTAAATTTAATATCCGATTGACTTTAAATTTATACATAGTGTTTAAGGTCATGAGACGAAGAAGCCTATTGCTTTTAAGCAATTTTCGATAATTACTGCCAGTGTTATGGCCCTTGATCACTTTGAAAAACATTGTGGACGCTCTAGAGGCTAAATTTAATATCCGATTGATTTTAAATTTATACATAGTGTTTGAGGTCATGTGACGAAGAAGTCTATTGATTTTCAACGATTTCCGATAATTACTACACCAGAGTTATGGCCCATGATCACGTTGAAAAATCTTGTGGATGCTCTAGAGACCAAAGTTATTAGCCGATTGACTTTAGATTGATACACAGAGTTTAAGGTCTTGAAATGAACAAGTATATTGATTTTCAATGAATTTTGATAACTTGAACAGCTAAATCCATGATATTAAATGTTTCGTATACTAAACGTTAGTATGAAGCAGACCTAAAACCCAAACAAATTCTAATGGTTTTCTGATAATTACTTCATGAGGTTACTCTTAATCAGATTTTAGTGTATTATAAATGTTTCATTACCGAAAATAGAAAAAATATGCGACAACTCTTGTTGACTGCTCAGACGACTTAGCTGCTGTGGCCGTATGTTTCGGTGCCTGGCAACCTATCTTTTTTATTCTGTGAACAGCCTTATTATGCTCTGTTGTGGTTATTCTGTGAACAGCTAAAACATTCTGTATTGTTTTATTCTGTGAACAGCCTTATTATTATTTGCTGTTTTCATTCTGTGAACAGCCTTAATATTCTTTGCTTTTTTGTTCTGTGCACAGCCAAAATATTCTGTATTGTTTTTATTTTGTGAACAGCCTTAAAATCTGTTCAGCCTTATTATTATTATTTGCTTTTATTCTGTGAACAGTCACAATTATTCTCTGTTGTTTTTTCCGGTGAACAGCCTTATTATTTTCTGTTGTTATAGCCGTAATATTCTGTATTGTTTTTTATTCTGTGAACAGCCCTATTTAGAATGACATCCAGATGTATGTTATCTTTGTTTTTAGTTTGTATTTTAAATTTTTATTAAAATCTTTGAGAGGTTTTTACAGATTTATTTTCAGCCACAACTAAAATTTATACCGAGCACTTGTTGTTTTGTCCAGTCTTTTATTTTGCTTGTTCATATATGCAACCCTTTTTCTTTTGTCATGTTTATTCTACAATGTTTTTTTTATTTAATTGTGCATGTTTTTACAGAATCTGCATATTTCGAAAAACAAGGCTGTAAGTTTCACATGGCTTTGCAAAGCTTTTAATCCAAAAATTAACACAAAACCTTCCTTTCTATTTAAAGCCTACAATATCAGTATCTGATCTATTTTTTAATTATGATACAGTATATAATATATTTATAATATATTGCTTCTTTCAATTACAAATGCCCGACAAGGACAGCTGTCTAGTCGTTCGGATGGGACGAAAAACCAAGGTCCCGGGTACACATGGGCGTAAAAGATCCCTTGTCAGTTGGAATTCGATATAAGAGAAGGCAGTAGCGCCGCTGCCCGGGCAAAATTTCCCTCATAGCACACTGTATGGCGCATACCCGTCTACATTAGCCCAGTTTAGGAGCAGAACAGTAGGATGTTAAACCTCATTTAATTTCATTTCAATTACAAATGGGGGATTGGATGGCCCAATGTTCAGCACTTGCGCGCTGTATCATAAGGTCTGTCTTTGAGTCAACTTGCGAGGTTTTGATTCCCCGGTTGTACATGACAAGGTGTAGGGTTGCCTGTCCAACCTCGTGGGTTTTCTCTGGGTCCTCCAGTTTCCTCCCACTGCTAAAGATCCCTACGCGTAAGCGAATTATTAAAATAAAATGTTAGTCTCAAAATGATCTAGTTTGTGTCGAATGGATCTCTCTCTCTCTCACACACAAATACAACTTTACAAATATGAATAAAAATAATATGTAATACTAAAAGGATTAATGTTAACAAAACATTCTTGTTAGCCTCGAAAGGTTTAATATTTTATGAATATTCATACATATGATTGGAATAATTATATGGATTATATATGGACTATCCATGGAATGGTAATGGTATATATACTGGAGTATTAGTTTCATGAATTTGTTTTTTTTTGGCCAACGAATGCCAAAAAAATAACAACAGCATAACTTCTAATTTTCCATTTAAAATCTTGGCCAAATCATAGTTTAAAAACAATGTTCGTAGTTCAGACAGTTTTATGGATATAAATACAGGGATAATATCTACTTCCATGAATTTGTTATTTTTTGTACTTATGAATGCCAAAAGGATTACAATACAACATATTGGTTTGAATAAGTTTAAGAGTTTACCACTTTGTTTTCTTTGTTTTGCCGATTATAACATAAAGATTTGTTCCATGAAAACACATTGATAAGGAATAGATCGATTTGGCCAAAACGCATACAATTTTATTTTATATGAAATATATTATTGATAGTGATACCAGTATTTAAAATTCTTGAGTTTTTGGAATTATTGGGGGGCCTCGAACATGCCAAAGGGCATGATACAGGAAATGAAACAGGACAATCAAATTCATAATCACTAAATGCAGAATGACAAATGTCACATTTTGTATTTTTTGTTTCTTTTACTACAACAGTTGTCAAGTCAGAATTTGCTTTGTTTTTAATCTCATTAATGTTGGTGGGTTCAGTTTAGTTTAATTTTATCTTGCCTGCCTCAACAAAACAGTTTACAATTTAAAAGATTAGACCCAAGCTAATATCCTCTTATACATGTCTTGCCAAATAATCATGTTAGTGTTAGGCTAATATTTAAATTTGATATTTCCTCCATGTAGCCTTCGCTTCATTTAGAGAAACATTTCCTCTTAAACAGTTTTAGTATCTTTTTAATGTCATTACACAGGACATAATTTGATGGAATTCCATCACTGTTTATTAATGAGCGACAATTCAAATAGGATGCTCTTGTCAGTGCTAAATACAAACTACAGAATTCTCGGCCAAAATGACTCTTTAAGCAATAATTTTATTTCTTAGAATTGTGTGTTTCCAATTCAATTACTAGATTTATGCCATTTAAACAATTGCTAAGATTTGTAGATAGTTTTACAATTTGTTTTGTATACTAGAAATAAATTTCAAATTGAATATCCGATTTTATATTGATTTATGTTTTAATTCCTTTGAGGCTTTGTAAAAATAAAAGTTGAATCATAATTTGGGTTGATGCAGCAAAAAAAAAAACAACCCCCCAAAAAAACAGAAAAACATCCAATATTTAACTTGATACATATAAAGGCCGAGGTAAATGTTATTCCAAAAATATTTTTAAAAATGTTTGTATTCATTTGGTTTTTAAAATGTCATACTTGAAATAGCTATCTCCATTTATGATACATTATAGTCGTCAGGGGGGTTGGATGGTCGAATGGTTAGAATGTGCGAGCTGTATCATAGGGCCTGTCATTGAGTCACCTGGCGTGGTTTCGAATCCCTGGTTGTGCGTGACAAGGAGTAGGGTCGCCTGTCCAACCTCGTGTGTTTTCTCCGGGTCCTCCGGTTTCTTCCCACTGCTAAAGACCCTACACGCAAGTGAATTATTGAAATAAAAAATTAAACCATATGTTAATCCCGAAATGACCTAGTTTGTGTCGAGTGGACATTAAACCCCATTTCTCTCTCTCTCTAGTCGTCAATTTCTGAAGAAAAATATGGTAAGACATTAACAACAAGAAGACATTGTTATCACTTGCATAATGTCACTGGTACCTTACCAGTAAAATATGGTACGATTTTCTGCTGCATTCTGTACCGTATATGGAGTGGATTTTCTCCAGGTCTCCAGGTCTCCAAGTTTACTTCCAATGTTAAAGACCCCTTCATGCAAGCATTTTATTGAAAAAAAAAATTGAATACCGTATATGGGGTGGATTTTCTCATGCTCTTCAAGTTTCCTCCCAATGAAAAAGATGCCTACACGCGAGTATATTGAAATAAAATTAAACCACATGAAAGTCCAGATTTGACATACCGGATAGTTTGTGTTGTACATTGTATGAATGTTAAACTGCCTTTCTATCTTCTTTTTTTTTATAGTATTAATAATATAAAAAAGTTGGATTAAGGTTATAAAAATTTAAAATTCATGTCCATATATTTTGATACCACATTGATGAATGAGGGATATTTATAATAGCAAATGTATAAAATATGTACAAATATTGTTTTAGTCTAAATTTGTAGTTGATTTCACATAACATACCCTAAAAGTTTTTCTTCGAAAATTCATTTTTTGGCTAATAATATATATTGAAAAATATTACAGCACATATACTGTAATTAAAATTTTGCAGAGATTCTGACAAAAAAAATTAAAAATCAAATGTGTGCATTTCAAATTCTAAGCATTTTTTTAGAAATTAATTTTTCAGATAGTATAACCCAAATTTTTTGAAAATTTGTTGAAATTTTAAGGCAGTGTCAGTTGGTCTTCAGTCCTCACCCGATTCTGACAAAAAAAAATTTAAAATCAAATGTGTGCATTTCAAATTCTAAGCGGTTTTTTTTTTTTAGAAATTAATTTTTCAGATAGTATAACCCAAAGTATGACTTCACTTTTATATACTTTTTTAAAAAATTTGTCAAAATTTTAAGGCAGTGTCAGGGGCTCCTCACCCCCACCCCCTGTCAAACTTAAAATATTTCAGTAAAAAAAAGCGAGTCAGTTATATCTGTTTCTGATCGATGCCAAAATGCAGTTGTTTATGTTGATTGTGTTCTGTAGTCAAGACATACTCCAAATTATTCATTTTGCCAGGAATTCCTTCTGATTTTCTGCTTGACTTCCCTTTCACACCATATCCTAGCACCTCTACTATAAGTAAATATATTGGAGCAGTTTAATCCTTTTTCTGTTAAATAAACGTCTATGTCTTCTTACCAAATGACATATATACATTTAAGATATATTTCAATAATGTTACAGTACATGTGTGAAGTCCCCTGGCGTATTCAATTTATAAGTTTATGTGACCAGTATAATTCTTTCATTCTAAATGTTTGCTATATATCTAAATAAACATTTATCTATAACCAAATGACTTTTAAGACATATTTCAATACATCTAGTTTATATCAGCTTACATTTTTTATGTCAAGATGTAATATATGTTAAGGAGAATATAATTACCATTGTTCCATCACGCACAGCCATCATCAGGTGCATCCAGTGCCGGATTTTCCTTTAGGCTAGGCTTTAAAGATCTAGGGGGTCACTGAATAGTGTTTTTGATAAAAGCTGCTCCAACATGCACTGCAGTCTTAAGAATCTGTCATCCTGCTCGATTTTGTTACATTATTTTTGAGGCACACTTTCATATTCCTCTAGTTGTGATGAGTGGGGATTGCGAGGAGCCTCATAAGCGGAATAACCAAAGGCTTCAAGTGTGTTTAAAACTCATTATTCATCTTCCTCAATCGTGAGGTTTAGGGATTGGGAGAGGCTTTTGATAAATGAAATACATGTAGCCTATATGACCCCAGTCCTCATTATCAGATTTTCTCAATTGCGTTTAAAATACGCTTTCATATTCCTAATGAGTCATGGTGGGTGATCCATTGGGAGGGGCCTTCATAAGTGACAAAGCCTAGCCCCTCAATTGTGTTTAAAACATACTTTCATCTTCTTCAAATCGTGAAGAAGGGGGAAAAGGTAGAGAGGCTTTTTTCATCTAAATCTGGCACTGAATGTATCACCTTCACTCCCATATGTGTAATCATATCCTATCAAATACCTCGTTATGTATTAATTATGATTTTGATATGCTTATATTTTCAAAACAGGGCTTTAGTTTCAATCAGATTGATGAGTCTTGACTGACTGGCAGTGAAAAATGACCAATTGGAGAATTTACCTGTCAGTCAATTTATGTGCACTAATATCTGAATTACAAAGAATTTTAACTTTGAAATACAATAAATACATTAAACTTGTAACTTTTGTGTAGAAAAATATTACCAGATTAGAAAATTGTAATAATGCTAAAATCACCTTATTTCTTGTTAATCTGAGGAAAACAAAGGTTTGAATAGAAAGCCCTGTTTCGAAGTGATATTTTAATGAAAACTTGTAAATTTCAATTTTGCACAAAAATATCCTGTATAATTAAATAAAAAAAGATCCATATTAAATGATTGTCATTTTTTTTAAAACAAGTGTTGAATTGGGTTGCCCAGGTGTGTTATTTTGATTTTGATGCACTTGGCATGATGATTAACGATAAATTAAAAAAGGTTCAAATGTTTTTAATGTGAAAATGTAGATTTCGCGTATCAAACAAAGGCTGGTCTGAATTGTTTCATTTTAAACAGGCATTTGTTATTTTCCAATATGTGATATGATAGTTTTATTATATATAGAACTTGTTGTAGAATTAATATTTTTAACTATTTGAAATGTAGACGTTAAGAACAAATATTAAATTCTAGTTTTATAAAACACAGAAACCTAGAAAGAAAAAAAAAAAGACTTTTTTCATCCTGAACACAAAGCACTGCTCGATATATATAATATCTTCTGTGTATTTGAAACTACAAATTTTTTTTATGATTTTACAATGTATGCAGAAAAAAACCCAACATATTCATGACTTTGTAATTTATTTTTCAGCATTACGAAACTTGGCAGACGACACACATGACAGTTTGTTGCATGGTCACCATCATCATCATTCAAGTGGCAGAATTCCTAATGACGATGAAAGTTTTCATTCCCTTCATTCTAATTCCCACCATGGCCATGGTCATTCCCATGCTATTTCTGGTGATGTGAAGTCCCAGTCGATAGCAGCGATTGCATGGATGGTTATCCTGGGAGATGGTATACATAATTTTAGCGATGGTTTAGCGATAGGTGCAGCGTTTGCTAACAGCATTACTGGTGGTGTTAGTACTTCCATAGCAGTCATGTGTCATGAACTGCCCCATGAAATAGGTAAGATAATCATTGTCGAGAATATTATTTTGAAAATAAGCAAAACTCAATTAACTCTCTAGTACACACATTAATATAGACTAATCCTATTCCCTGAGGTGGCTGGTGGGTTGGTGTTGGATGGCCGAATGGTTAGCATGTGCACGTTTCATCATAAGGTCTGTCATTGAGTCAGCTGGTGTGGTTTCCATTTCCCGTTTGTATGTGACAAGGAGTAGGGTTAGGGTTAGTGGGGTTTTCTCTGGGTCCTCCAGTTTCCTCCCACTGCTAAAGACATCTACACGCAAGCGAATTATTGGAAAATTGAACGATATGTTAGTCCCAAAATGATCTAGTTTGTGTTGAGTGGATGTTAAGCCCCATCTCTCTCTCTCTCTCTCTCTCTCTCTCTCTCTCTGTTATTTGTATTTTTTTTTACACAAAGTCTTGTAGGTCATTCAGCACACCTTATTTCTCTGTAGAAACATATCCTCTTGATATGAATTTCTGCAGAGAAAAGTTCATTGTCTGGTGATTTTATGTCAGTGACTAAGTTTAGAATTTACTAGTCAAATAAAACTAGCGATTTGTTTTGTCTGTATCACACAGTTCAAAATGGCCTTTATCACAAAGCCCAACACATCTTAAAAATTAAAAAAAAAAAAAAAAATTTTAATGTCTACATTAGTACAGTAGACATACAATGACCTTAAGATACTGATGTTGGAGACACCAATTAGTCCAAAAAAATGTAAGTATTAAAAAAAAACTTATTTTTAAAGTCTACATTAGTACAGTAGACAGTCAATGACTTTAGATACTGACGTTGGAGACACAAATTAGTCCAATATAAAGTAAGAAAAACTGGTATGTGAATCACATTGCCTGACATGTATCACATTTGAAAGGCATGATAAGTGAAATTAGGTCATTTTAATGTGTTTTTAATGACGTGTGTGTGTTTTATCACCTGACACTATCTATTTATTGAAATACCTTTATCTGTGTTTTTTTGTTAAATACATATATTTGAACAAAACATTTTCTTTTATAACAAATGTCAGTGCAGGTATTTTTAAATAATATTTTCCTTGTGTAAAGTGATTTATTTTTATTTGTTTAAATGAATGCAGTGCATTAGTACAGTTGTAGACAATAACTTAACAATACCAAAACCTAACAATAGCAAACACATTCTTTCTCACAAACCTAAAAAGTTGAGTTTGATATTCCTAAGTTTCATATTCCTGAAGCAATGACCTGTGGAAACTGAGCGGGATTTAGGTCTAATCAAACAAAACACTACACTTAATTGTTTAAGCGGCATTAGTAACTGGATGAGAATAACACATGACAATTATAGGGAATACATGTTACTTAAAGGATTTATTTCTAGCAAGGTTTCGAGCAAAAAACGTCTTTGAAACCTCACTGGAATTAAATCTTTCAAATAACTTGTATGTCATATAATTATGTCATGTGTTAAAACACTACACTGCCACAGGAGAATGGTTGTGTTTCAGAGAGATCTCAGATTGCTTTCAACACACTCTTGGTCTTGTTTCTGTAGCCATTATAATAAATGGATCATTATCAAAATCAGAATGTCTTTGATAGGCTGTAATAGGGGGGTTGCAAAATGGAAATTCCTCTAAACAAAAATCATAGAAATGGTATCAAATATCATAAATAAATGCATCTTTCCATTAATTATTCATGACTTTTGATTGTCGTTTTAACGCCAGATATTCCTTGACTCCTTTGTGTGCTAGACTTTGCCAAAAGCTTGGTTGTGGTTTTAAAATTGTTATTTTAGACAAGTAAATCAGAAAACTAATTTGGCCTTGATGTTACTGAAAAAAATACATAAGAACCAAAAACTATGACAATGTGAAATCAATAGATTCTCCTAAGCCACTTGATTGGTTTCGAAAAAAAAAATTGAAAATATGTCGCAAGGATTTCAATAAAATTTGGTAAATTTGTTGCAAGATATTATTTAACTTTGTTCAAATGAAGTTGCTTGCCACATACAGGGACTGGGCAGGTTTATCTTCAAAAATCTTCTTCAGGATAGCGAAATAGATTTCTTCCTGTTTAGATTTGTTTTGACATTTATATATTGCAGAGGATTCTAATGCCAGGGTTCCCACTGTCATGCAATGCGTTACGATAGGATTGTCCCTATTGAGTCCACGGTCTGCTACGTGTAGATACATTTGGATAAGTTTTGATGCAATCAACATGACAAGACCTGATAGGATCACCACAATTACTCCACGATTAAAACCATGATTTCAATCGTAGCAAGAATCGTGATAGTGGGACCCTAGCATTATTGCAATATATTGATATGTGGTTTATTGAAATTTTTGAACAACCCAACAATACATCCTGGATTATTTACAAGGATTTCCCAGCTGTATCACTGAGACCCTTACGTATATAAGTACTGTTCTTTCGCCCCTCTTCTTTCAGTTAATTTTTTTTTTGTCGCCGCTTTGCATTTTTATTGTTAAATATATTATACGATATTTGTTTCTTTTTTCATAGTGTAAATAATTGTCTATTTTTTCATAGTGTTATAATTGTATATATGTTAGATGATTATATTTTGTTATATTTATTTCTATTTATTTTTTTCAGGTGATTTTGCGGTGTTATTACGAGCGGGTATGAATATAAAGCAAGCTATAATGTACAACTGTGTGTCATCCATTCTCTGTTTTATTGGAATGTTTATAGGCGTGGCACTAGGAAATTTAAATGAGGCATCATTATGGATATTTGCCTGTGTTGGCGGAATGTTTCTTTATATAGCGCTAGTAGATATGGTGAGTACAGACCCATTCTAATCTGATTGAAATACAAAGCATTCTCAGACTTAAGTTAAGAATTTACTCAACTTTCAGCCACTGTTTATGAGAAATACCTTTGATCCAGAAAGACAAAACTTTGCAAATAGTTTCTTATTGATGTACTTGATACATTTAAATAACAAAAGTTTTATAAAGGGCTATATTTTAGTTAAAATAAGGCAAACAATTTTGAGTAAATTCTTAAATTAAGTCTGAGAATGCTTTGTGAACTTGGGGCCAGATTTATATTCCGTTTCGATTGTTTTATACCTTTGATGGCCTACACTACATGAAGATCTGACCAGTTGCAGTGGAAGGTCGCATCAGGAATCATACGAGCATCTTTTGACCTTATGATGATGTTAGACATTGATTAATCATTCAGCGTTGACATTTATAGTGGTTTACCTGTAACAGACCGCTTCATTGGCTAATCCCTCACATCAACCAGAACGCGGGTTATATAACAACTCTTCCAGAACCTAATGTATTAAAGACAAGTAAAACGAAATTTTGAACTATAATAAACGAAATGAAATAGCATCAGTTGGATCCATTCAGTCGATTTGATATTTCTTGTTCATTTCTTGCAACGTCTATGTAGTTGTGTTGTCTGTTTTGTTTTGCGTGTAGTACAGTTCTCCTGCACACAGAATTATCTACTCTACTTTAAATAAGATCTCTGCCCTAAATGGCAGCCATATCCAACAATTAGTATACGGTACTGTTTTGTAATGTGGTCCTACACCGGTTCATATGTGTTATACACTGAAAGAATAATTAAATATTTTTAATTTTTAATTTTATTAAATAAAATCAGAATAGTGTCTTAGTGTCTGTTCTAAAGCAGAGCTAACTGTAGACAGACAGCATAAGTTTAGTATGGGTAATGCAAGTGTTAATTCAATGCCACCAGGCTTATATATATATATGTCTCTACCCGTCTTGATTTGCCCCTCTATCCTCAATTTTAGTGGCACTAACCCTAACCATGGATCGGAGGTAGTATAACTCAGAAACCAGAGTTGATAGACCAACTCCACCAGGCCTTAAATTGTCACTCGATGGCTTCTCCAGCTGCCCTTATATGCCAAATTTGAGGCTCAGGGCAGCCTTAGGTCAATACGAACCCTAAACAGACGGACAAATATACATGGAGATGTGCCATCATTCCTTAACAGCAATCAAATTCAAACTCCTTCCATTACTATCCAACCCATTTACAACTGTGAATTTTCGAGTTAACCAACATTCTTTAACACAAACTTTTTTTTTCTTTCAGTTACCAGAAATGACTTCCGTAGAAACGAAGCATGGTGAGAATCCGTACTGTCATTTAGTGTTTCAGTGTGCCGGTATGGTTCTCGGTGCAGGGATCATGCTTGTTATCGCCATCTATGAACCAGATTTACTCTCCGCTCTCGATCGCCAATAGTTCCGTGCACAGAAATCGTGTCTTGTCTCAGCATTTGTTTATTAGAAGTGAGAAATGCTTTATTGGTGCGCTCTTAAAGGGCAAGTTGTTATTATTCCATGTATACTTCAGTGAAAGAATGTGGTATGAGGGTTAATGTCTACTGCCATCCTGGTTAATCCAGACGAACTCTGTGTGTGTGCTTGTATATCCAGATATCCAGACATATTTTATAGAGGACCAAATAGCTCTGTTGCTACAAACATCAATGTTATTGTTAAAACATTATATAACTGTATAATTTTTAAGGAGTTTTACAGAAAATATCCAAGGAAGTGGATAGTGAATTTTTTTGTTTTTGTTGTTGATGAAATACTCATGTATGTTTACAAGGAATCTTTTAGAAGAACTTTATTTTTGTACGGCAGACATTTTTCCAGTTTTACTTGCACTAAAATGAGAGAGGTTGGGTGGCTGAATGGTTAACACAATGGATCAGAAGGTCTGTCATTGAGTCAAGTGGTGTGGTGTTGATTCTCTGCTTGTACGTGACAAGGAGTTTTTTTCCGGGTTCTCTGGTTTCCTCCCACTGTTAAAGACCCCTACGCGTAAGCGAAATATTGAAATAAAATTGAACCATAAGTTAGTCCCGAAATAACCTACCGGTAGTTTGTGTCGAGTGGAGGTTAAAACTCATTCTCTGCACTAAAATGAGTTTAATCTACTGAACGGAATGTGGCCAGCCTGTATTTTATATATTAAAGTCTCAGATCGTCTTCTTTGATTGGCATTTAGTAATTAAAAAATATTAACACAAGGTACAATTTTATGGATACACAATTACTGAGTTTAATACTAAGCGATAAAGTTTAATGCTAAGCGTCGGGGGGTTGGATGGCTGAATGGTTAGCACATGCGCTGTATCATGAAGTCTGTCATTGAGTCAACTGGCGTGGTTTCGAATCCCGGGTTGTACGTGACAAGGAGTAGGGTCGTCTGTCGAACCTCGTGGGTTTTCTCCGGGTCCTCCTGTTTCTTCCGAATGCTAAAGACCCCTACGCGCAAGCGAAGTATGGAAATAAAATTGAACCATGTTAGTCCCAAAATGACCTAGTTTGTGTCGAGTGGACGTTAAACCCGATCTCTCTCTCTCTCTCGTTGAAATGTCACTTAGCATTAAACTCAGTAATTGTGTAACCATAAAATTGTACCTTGTGTTATCTGATATTCATTTCAGGGATGTTGAATCCCTTGCAAACTACCGGCATAGTATTGTGAGAGTTGAATCTCTAAATGGAATATCAGGCCAAAAATGCCGACATTCTGCATTGACTGTATAAGTATAAGTCAGTGCCCCCTATCAATTATCTACCATTGTTATTTTGATTTTGTTTTATAAGTTAGATGTTAAATTGTAAGATTAGATAATGAGCTGAACAGTTCTTGCTATAATAGTTAAAAAATAGATAATGAAAACGGAATATATTGAAACTTTTAGTCAAATTACTTCACTCTGAGCCTAGTTATCAGTGAATCAATTACAGTCATTGCTGCAGTTGTTATTATAATAAACAAAGTCTCGATTATCTATTTTTACGGTAACTTTATTAACCGCAAAACATATTTAAATATACTTAATATCTAAGCCATCCGATGGCATCAAGAGTTGATTATAGTCTTGTCATGTTGATTAATGTCTAATTATTATTTATATAACATTTGAAGCCTAATGAATGACCTGCAAGATCTAGGTCTTGAATAATGCGTGTTTAAATAATCTGTCATTAGATATCTTCCCAAAAATACACAAATAATGATCATTGACTTTAAAAATAAAAAAATATCTTAGAAGTTTTTATGAAGAAAATAAATGTAATTAATTCCCTTTTATCATATTCAAAAATAACCTTAGATTACAGAAGTTTAATTGAATAACTCTAAACTTGCTTGCTTGGATTCAAGGCATTACAGAAGATACAGAAATAGAAATTTAATTCAGAATAACTGTAAACTCAGCCAATTACAGTAAATCCTGGGTCTTGCCTGCTTTGATTCAAGGCATTGTTTAAGAAACTCTGCTGAAGTTTTTGTTTCAGCAGTATTCATTTTGAAAATATTTTACAATCTACATGCATAAAGAATCGGATAACAAAAACCAGCGAAGGAAGCATATATGTCATAGATGGATTGGCAGATATGTCTCAAATGGTTCATATCATTTTTGAACACTCTTTGCATAACTGTTAATTCACTGTAAATCAAAATCGATTTTTCTTACCGAGTAAGATTTACATTTCTATCTTTTTTTTTTTTTATATAAGCCACCTAAATTTTGGAACATATTTTACAAATTGCATGTAGATTGAAAATTGAAAGTTTGTAATATTGTTAATTATTCTAGCTTCATTTGGAAACAGACATTCAGAAATGTTCTTATCTCCCTTGGAGCATACAAAATGAAGTGCTTTTTGGACTTTGCAAGGAATGATTTGCGCTTTTGTTGCTTAAAACTTATGCATCTGCCAAAAATGCAAAAAAGAACAATACTCCTTTGACAAATGTCAAATATTGAATTTTATGGAAACCAAAAGTGCTTTATTTTAGTTATTTTTATTTTAACTGAAATGTATGGATTTACACATGTGCTGTAGTTATTTTATGCCCAATTTTTATTTAGAAATGTATTCTATGATAAACCCATTGTTACCTGAACAGCCTGAACCTGCTTGACACTACTGCTCCCTCTAGCCCCTCACAGTTCTGGGGGTTGGAGGCCGAATGGTTTAAAGTGTGCCATTGAGTCCAGTGGCGTAGTTTCGATTGCCCGCTCGACAAGGAGTATGACCATCTGTGCAACCTTGTGGGCTTTCTCTGGGTCCTACAGCTAAAGACCATATAAAATTGAACCTATATGTTAGTCCCGAAATGACCAAGTTTGTGTTGAGTGACTGCTAATCTCCATTCCCCCTTCCCACCCCCCACCCCCACCCCTACAAAAAAGTTTTGTGACTAGAGCAGTTTAGGGAGCAGTACTTTTGGATGGTTTGGACGATGGGCAACAATACTCTAATGTCAAAAATACAATTTCTCCCTAATTTTTTCTGGGAACTGCATGAAGTCGTCTATATTTATCTGTACTAGATGTTAAATGTACAATTGAATAGTCCCATACCTTCTTTAATTTATTGAAAATGTCAGAATTCTTATTTATATGTCTCTATAAAAAGTTAATGTGTAATTGAATGGGGTTTATAACGTTGAACTATTTACAAGTAGTACAAGCAAGGGAAAATGTCTAGTTATTCGGATGGGGCGGAAAACTGTCTGGGCAAAATTTCTCTCATAGCACATTATATGGCGTATGCCCATCTTCATTGAACTATTTACAAATACTCTGGGAGCTGCGTTAGCTTGCTAGCCTAGGAACGATGTATAGTCATTCGGATGGGATGGAAAACAGTCTGGGCAAAATTTCTCTCATAGCACACTATATGGTGTATACCCATCTTCATTAATATGATGTTAAACCCCATTTCATTTCACAAATACTCTGTGGTAATAATTTTGTATTTGACATTTAAACCTTTTTGTTTTTTTCACAAATAGATGTTACTGAGAATATAAAATGACGATTTTGTCAATATGTTTTCAGTATAAATCCATGCTTATTTCACTAGCCGAGGTATTATTGTAGACTAGCCTATTTTTTAAAATCAAATTCTGATTGAGAAGTGTATCAAATTATCAACGATAATTATTTTATATTTGTTATGTTTATGTTTTCAGCATTTAGTCAATAGTGTGCTTAGAAATGTGTTTAATTCTTCTAGCTACGAATGTTTCATATCCACTGATCCAATTATTTAGTATAAATTTCATTAGCACATGAAAAATAGTATATATTGGATGGAAATACAGGGGGTTTTCCCTATCTAGAGTGTGAACTGATTCTCGATTCATGTGAACTAGAGTACAATGTTGTTTTATGCACAGGATGCAACGCCATGGAATACAATTACTGTGGGTTTGTGACCTTTAATGTTATTAGCGAATTTTAAAAAAAAAAATTCTATCTCACTTATAGGCCCAAAACCAGGGCTCATTCTGTTGATCGCCAAAATCATAATTTTGGATACAAAAATTAAAGTAGCAATTAAAATTTGATTTTGGCGATAATTCTAGTTTTATCTTTCTGTGCCCCCTTAAAAGCAAAAGCAAACTGGTATACATATATATAAATATTTATTTTTGTATTGTAAGTGCATGATGTATGGTCGAAGTGCTTACATGATATTAAATAAAACGGTCTTGTGATGTTATAAATAAATATTGCTATTAAACACCATCTTGACCTTCTTTATTTCCCTTGGTAGTAGCGCCTCCCCCCCCCCCCCCCAATATTATACACCATCTTGACCTTGATTATTTCCCTTGGTAGTAGCGCCCCCCCCCCCCCCAATATTATACACCATCTTGACCTTCGTTATTTTCCTTGGTAGTAGCGCCCCCCCCCCCCCCAATATTATACACCATCTTGACCTTGATTATTTCCCTTGGTAGTAGTTGAGATATTTTCATCAGTCTGGACAATGTAGACTTTAGTTCTCTTGTATAAGCAGAGTCGGATTAAGCTTCCCCGGGGCCCTAAAATTGTCACTGGGACCCTTGTATCAACAACAATAAACGGGTATATTCTGGTCATTCTCCGTCACACTCACACAAATTCAATGTGTAGGTCAAGTATGTTAGATAGATTTATTTGGCACAAACATACGTACTGAATAAAATCATAAAATTATAAATTATATGCTTTATATAGAAATAAAATTGGGGGCATGGCCCATATGCTGTACTTGGTAACGAAAGGTTAATTTCACCTACACATTATTTTTATAAAATAAAAATATGGTTTTATCCAGACACCATAAAATACAGCTTCGAACTCCGGTCTCCATTTCCAGATGAAGACTGACGGGTTTGAGTTGTTTGAAAACGCATCACGTATATTGAGTTACTTGTTCGGCCCTAAGGTTGAGGAATTTGAGGGCCTTTAACGCAAAATTAAGCAGTTTTATTCTCCAAAATATAATAGAGATTGGCCCTTTAAGAACCTGGAAATTTTCCAATCAGAAGTTCCTGGCACCTCACTGTCATTCTGGAGAGGGTGAACACATTGCACTCGCTCACACTCGCCTTAATTCTGGTTATATTAGTTAACACCGTACGTAACTAAAAAGTAAGGCAGGGTGGTTCAGATTGAGTCAACGCCAGTCCATTGAAGGGAGATAACCCCTATGAGAATAAATTATAGGAATCCCGGAAAATATGAGAACACGTGCTTTCTATTTTGGCGGCAAACACAGATGGACGCCCAAGAATAATACTATAGGTGCAACTACATTTTTACAATTCCTTCTTTTAATTCAAACGTGTTCAGTTTCGGAATCTTTTAGGTTTGCTTAGAAGCTTCAACTTTAGGGCATTTTGTATAGAAAAATTACAACTTTGCGTGGCACGCCATTCTGATTAGGCTAATTCTGGATATTCTGGTACAAAGTGTTTGCGTCCCTTTGTATGAAGATTTAAAGGTAAGGTCAAACTTTTAGCACAGAAATACAAAATAATTTATTCCAAGAAGTTGATTTAACGATCATGCGAGTGAATGTCAAAGAATCAAAATCCGTATGTAAACTGTTGTTCTGTCTGGGCAATGTCTTTTTTTATTGACAATCCGTCTTCATTAACCCAATATTCACTATTTTGAATGGATCTGCGCATTGTCCACAGTAATTCAGATCACCATTTGAAAGAGGTTTGGCAGATGTCACATTTTGAACAAGCACGTTAGCCAGGCCCGGATCCAGGGGGGGAGGCAGGGGGGGGGGGCGGGGGCGGTGCCCCCCCCCCCCTCAGCCCCAGTGAGACTGGTCATCACTGTTCAGACCAGCACCTGCAGCCAGCAATGGGATTCCCAGATTTTAGTTTCTGTTTAATGAGGCCACGACGAAGACTCTGGAGACTACTCCAAACCACTAATGCATGCGGCACTCTGATGATTACCCTTTGCTCCAATGTATCCCCAACCCCCTCAACAAAATCCTGGATCCGGGCCTGGTAGCTATGGAAGAAGAAAAAACTTAGGACTACAAGGTTATAAATAATAAACTGTACATAAAATAAACAAACATACATATATAAAATAAATACTTACAATATAGTCAAGTTGTGTGGTTTCAATTCTCCATTTCCCTTCCTCCATTTATTCACCATTGAAACACTACTGATTACGAATAAATTAATAAATTTTATGGAATCAAAGATGTCAAACCTTAAACCTTTTACAATGTATGTTCCAGATGCCATAAAAGCCATCCAAACCTTACCTTTTACAAAACCAATTTTATGTTCTGCAGACTTGTTTTGCAAAGTTTGATAAAAACTTCTATCCAAAAAAAACAAAACAAATTCAGTTTTCCTTTGGTATTCTAAAAATCAACTCGCAATTTTTACAAAACCAATTTTATATTCTGTAGACCTATTTTGCAAAATTTAATAAAACTTATATCCAACAGGACAATTCGATTTTCCTTTGGTATTCTCAAAATCAACTAGCAATTTTTCCTCTGAAATCTGGTACGAAGTTTAACATGTCTACGAAAAGAAAAGAAAAAGCTCTTCAAAACTTCTTTAAAGTCGTAGACAAACAAATTCATAAATCTTGACATCACCAAACAAAACATAATGTGTTTATTTTTATTGTGCAGATCATCAACCAGCTTTAGATACATTAAAATACAATTATGGCACTAAAAATGGCTAACAAAAATCTGGACAAAAGAAGTAGATTAGTTTTTCAGAGAAAGACTATTTGTTGTTAGTAAGTTGTGAAACATCTTTTTTCTCTTGTTTCATATATATGTGATGTTTTTTGTAACAGTTACTTAGAAACTTGAGATGATAGAATTGGATGTTGATAAGATCTGATCAGATATGCGTAGAGTTTTGTACCTTCAGCAGTGATATTAACAGCTTATTGTTGGATGATGTTTTACCATCAAATGCGTACATTTTCTCGTATCTGTTGCCAATCTTGATGTTAAATACAGGCACGATGCATTTTATTCTGTTGTTGGATGAAAATGTTTTGCTGTATGCCTCTCGTTATCACTAGTATTTAGAAATTTGGTGACAAAAATCGAACATTCCTGTCAGTCAAAAACAACAATACAAATAGAAATTCTGCCTGTTCTCCTTTATCTATAGACTTGGGGGTTGGGTGGCCAAATTGTGTAACCAGTGCGCTGTAGATCATCTCTGTCATTGAGTCGACTGCAGTGGTTTCAATTCTGAGCTTGTATGTGACAAGGAGAAGTTTCGCTTTCCCAAACACATGGGTTTTCTCCCCCTGCTAAAGACCCTACGAGCAAACAAATTATTAAAATAAATTTGAACCATATGTTAGTCCCAAATTTACCTAGCCATGGCGAATGGACTGTTAAACCCTATCTCTCTCTGTTTTTATCTACAAACCAGGTAATCTGTTTTTTCAAGCTTGCTTTTACTGCTTAGCTACACAACACTTAGAAAAAGTTGAATAAAGTGTCACAAATCCCGCTGAAATCAGCACACATCATCATTCCGTGAAAAATCGACAATCCCGATCGTGCATTTTTCAGACAATATCTCACTTCCCAGATTAAAATGTACTAAAATAGTAGATAATCTACCTGTATGCATTCAATCTGACATAGGGATGGGATGAAGTTGTCGTGGGTACAAATTGTCACATTGGAGATAGGATGTAGTTGTCTTGGGTACAAATTGACACATTAGGGATAGGTTGAAGTTGTGTTGTGTACAAATTGTCACATTGGGGATAGGTTGAAGTTGTTTTGGGTACAAATTGACACATTGGGAATAGGATAAAGTTGTTTTGGGTACAAATTGTCACACTGGAGATAGGATAAAGTTGTCTTGGGTACAAATTGTCACACAAGATCTTACATATACAGTCCTCTGGTGAAAACAATGAACTTATTTCACTATTTAAAGTATACTGAAAACTGAGCTGATATATAGAGAATCTCCTACCAGTCTTTTTTTATATCAAAAAATATCAACACAAGTTGATAAAGTAACAAAAAAGACGAGTAGGAGATTTTATTTATCACCCAATCCCTTCTTACATGCACAAGTATAATTCTTTTACTGAACATTACCGCGTAGTGATACATTATTTTTTGACAGCAATTCAACCAATGCAAAGTCCTTTATATTGACCCAGTGTTTCCATCAAGGTCAATTGAATAACAATAGTTCATTTTTGATAAAAAAAAAAGTTACTTTTAATAAGAAATGAACTGTTCTTTGAAAATAAAAAAAAGTAGTTCCTTTTCAACTGACCAATCAAATTCATGTACAGCGATATCTCCTAAGGAGATTATGAAATATATCACATATCTACTGTAGAAAGTATTATTGGGTGATAAAAGACGATGTTAATGATTCACAGGTTTTAATTACTCATTGTTTGGTCCAGAAATGATATAATGAAAACCTACTTTCATTTGTAATACATTTTAGGGGAGCCGTGGTGAACAGAACAGTAGGACATTAAAACAAATTTCATTTCATTTCTATTCCCAAAAGGTGCAGAAAAGTGGGACATTAGACTAAACCCATTTCATTTCATCTATATTTTATGGGGGTTGGATGGCCGAATGGTTGGTGTGTGCGCGTTCTATCATAAGGTCTGTCATTGAGTGAACTGGCGTGGTTCCAATTCCCCGGTTGTACGTGACAAGGAGTAGGATTGCCTGTCCAACCCAGTGGGTTTTCTCCGGGTCCTCCCACTGCTAAAGACCCCTACACGCAAGCGAATTATTGAAATAAAATTTATGTTTGTGTAGAGTGTATGTTAAACTCTCTCTCTCTCTCTCTCTCTCTCTCTCTCTCTCTCGCTCTCTCTCTCCCTCTGATCAGAATTTCCCTCTTTGGACACTACATTGTGGATACCTGTCTTCATTAGCCCAGTTGGTGCAGAAAAGTAGGACATTAAACAAAACCCATTTTATTTTCATGTTTATATATTTCAGATTGGCCAAGAAATCAGAAATGATATAATGAAAAACTACTTTCAACTGGTATATATTTTAACACTAGAGTATGTGTATTTGTATATATATATGTTTATAAGTGTGTCCACAAGTTGTTTAAGATGTCTGACATTTCACTCCTGGTGTGAATGACTTTCTCTGTATTGTCATTAAATTACAGACACGTGTTTACATTAGACTCTGCAAAATAAATGATTTTTTTATCGTCTGCTGTCATTGAAACAGAT